TCAATTGAACGCTATTGTAAAACTAATATAAATATTTGTGTAACCCGATGATCAAAATCTAGACTTTCCCTATGCTTATTATTATTAAATACTATTTATAGTTTTCATATTATTATAATATTATTAAATATTACTAGTTATTAATAATTATTACTAATTAATTAAATATTAATATTTGTATTTTTCTGTATCTCATATAACTATGTTGTAATTAATTATTAAATTAAACAACTATTACTGAGTATCACATGATTAATAATTTTGGTAGTTGTTCCTTATTTTCTATTACTTATATTTTCTTTAATTATTAATTTAAGTTTCTTTTTATTACATATTAATAATATTTTTATCATTAACTAATATGGTAATTTTCCTTCTATAACAGTTAATTTAAGTTTCTTTTTATTATGTATTAGTAATATTTTTGTCATTAACTGATATGGTAATTTTTTTTCTATAATAATATACACAATTTCTAATATTCACTAGTCAAATATAAAAGAATTACTATATTGAATGGTAATTTCTATACTATCATCAGGAAATTTTTTTAAACATTAACCAATGTTAACATTTGCCAACGTTTATGTCACTGACTAACAGAATGTTAACTAACATTTTTTATTAACAAATTTTTCACAAAATAATAATAAAAGATATGTTAATCAATACTAGTTAACATAAACAATTATCTATAATAATGTTAACCAATGCTAGTTAACACAAATAATTATTAACAATAACATTAACATTATCATTAATAATTGTTTGCATTAACTAGCATTGATTAATGTCATTATTGATAATCATTTATGTTAACTAGTATTAGTTAACATATCATTTATTATTGTTTGCAAAAATTTTGTTAATAAAAATTATTGGTTAACATTCTGTTAGTTAGTGATATAAACATTATCAACATTAATCAATGCATCATTAACCAATATTGGTTAACAGTTAAAAAATTTACTGATAATAGATTAGCTAAAAATTAATAACAATCAACTATTCTATTATATCCTAAATTATAATTAATTAAAATCAAAATTTCTTTTTAGTATGGCATATCTTTTGTATTTGACCTGTTATTGTTACTACCTGGGAGTACAAGCTTTACTAATTTATAGTGTTTTAGCTTAGTAGTGAACTTGTGTTGATTGAATTATATCATCAGAAATTAAATAAAAACATTTTACAATACTATATGAACATCATTCTATAGTGTTATTTGAATGGCACTAACATACTAGAATGCAATATTCTAGTATGTTATCTAAACATTTCATATTAATAGTATACTAAATACACCATTCTAGTGTGTTATTTGACCATTTTGTATTTATAGCATATTAAAATTGGCATTTTTAGTGTATTATTTAAATGTTTCATATTTACATATAGTATACTAGAATGTCTATAAAATTCCTGATGGTGAATAATTATAAATATTAAAGAGAAAATATAAAATATAGAAAGAATTCAATTAATGTCAATTTATCTAATATTTTATAATACTCGCAACAAACCTTGGATCTGGTGTATTTTGTATTATCAATGTTAATTTTAGTAAAGATCTAATATATATTTTGTCTTTACTATCAATTATATCTTACTTAAGTTAGTCCAATCTATATTTGATCTTAGCAAAACAATACTTCAAAACACAAAGCTTTCAGATCCCTCTTTTACATGCTTTAATGAAATGGTGATCTTTAGATAAAACTTTTAGGTATTCTTTAATTTTGTTGATGTATTTACGATCATTTTCAGACGAAGCACTGTTCTTAGAAATGTAACCCTTACACTTGCTGTATAAAATTTCAAGTTTACTGGAACTATTTCTCTATCTCTTGCTAGTATTGTTGCTAAGTTACAAGAAAATTTGTCACACTCCGGCAGGTTAATATCTTCTTCATTTGCTTCGCCAAATTTGATGTTTCCAGCAACACATGCTTTACTATAAATTATTTCTCTTGCAACATTATTTTTTCCATATCAACTTAAAAATAATATTATCGGATGGTGTATCATTGATCGATTATAACTATTACGATTAGAATTACATAATTAAAATATTAAAAATTAATTTCTATATTTCAAAAATTAGAATTGGAATAAATGATTATGTGTACTGTATGATGAAAGTGAAAATAGAATTTATTATGATAATGATAAATGAATTGTTGTGTAATAAAAAATATCGGATAAACGCTCTCGGTTCATATTTAAATATAACCATGAACCATTATCATAATTACAAATTTGTATTATTTATTTAGCAATGAAAGTATTATTCATTTATTGTATTTTATTGAATTTATTGAATTTATTGAATTATATTGAATTTATTGAACTTTATGAATTATATTGAATTTATTGAATACGTGTTGTGAAAATAAAATTTATCTAATGAATTATCATTTAGCATCGATATTATTATGATATTATTACATGATATATTATTATTAATTGATATATAAAATTATTTATCTAATTTGATATTAAACGAAATAAACGAAACAATTACAGAAAATACAGAAATAATAATAGTTTTTAAACGATTAAGAAAGTGCCAGCTGAATAAATTTGAATAACATAGTTTGTAATATTAGTAGATGTTATCAAACATCCGAATTTATATAAAGTATTACGAGGTATTGTACTAGGTAATTTGAATTCTAAGCAACCTTTTGAGAAAGTTACATTATAACCAGGTATGAAATTGAAAGTTACAGGAATTACACCTGGAAGAAACTTTGTAGGTTCAAGTAAAAATCTGACTAATGTGAAATTAGCTTTAGGATAACCTGGAGGATAATAGGAACCAGACCATTTAGCTTTTAATTTTTGGCCTATTGTGTAAATATCACCAGCTTTTGGTTTAGTAAAGGTGATACCAAATCCAGGTTTACAAATTGTGAAGGTTCCGGAATAATCAACTCTAGTTCCATTAACAGATACGACGAAATAATATTCAGGATTTGGTAATGAGAAAAAACCATCTTTTGGAAGTTTAGCAGTAAATTTGTTGGGTCCTTTGCATAATTTGAAGGCTGGATCAAGAATAAGGACGTTAAAAGATCCTCTTCGGGCGAGGGTAATATTAGCAACGGTATCATAGGGGGAAAGTATTGTAAGGCAATATTTATCACCAGGATTCTTTTGTTTCCCAGCAACATCTGTTACAATCCATGCATCTCGAAGCCCTGGAATTTTAGTTGCCTGCGAAGAAATTATTTGTAAACAAATGACCAATAAGATGGCGATAATTGATTTCAATGACATCGTTATTTTTGTTGTTATGAAATGTTATTTCAAAGTAAAAAGAAATTTTTGAGATGAAAAATAAATTGAGAATGAAAACCTCTTATTATATAAGAAATTTTCATTATTTATTTTTCTCTTTTCACAAGAATAATAAATGAATTGGTTATCTGTTATTGTGTAAAAATTATCATATGGGCGAATATGTCATGGACAAAAATCTAAATAAGGAAATTTTTACTCATAAAAATTGCAGATTAGTTTTCTTTGTCCATGAGTTATGAGTTATCGCACATATTCGCCCATATGTATGTTATTGTGCAATGAAAATTAATGTTTCAATGCACATTATCAATTATAATTGTCAACTCCCGTTTAAGTAAATGACGAAGCATCAATATAATCAATTGATTTAGCAGTCTTTGCCACGATTCAAAGTCCAGGAAAAGTATTGTCAATGAAAAAGTTTCAAGTGATAAAAATCTAATAGAACATTTCTTCGTATTTCGTTTTTCGATCATAAAATCAATGCAATTAACACAAAAAAAACCATATGGACTTTTTCAATGAGAAATTATTTTCAGTGCGCCAAATTATTTCTTCTTTTGTATTTATTTTTATATTTGTTATTTTATGATTAATTTATAATTAAGAATGGTAACATTTAATTAAGAATGGTAACATTTAATTAAGAATGGTAACATTTAATTAAGAATGGTAACATTTAATTAAGAACCTTTTCCAAACATAGGAAAAAATAATATAAATAATTAAATATAGTTAAATATATTTTAATATCAAGATAAATATTTGAATGAAAGATCTAATTCCGAAAATCCATAAAAATTGTTTCTTCAAACATTGAGAATCAAACCCTGCTAACTGTAGTGAAAGGTAAAACGATTTATGCACTATTAACAATAAATTCTCATTGATATAATATAACAATAAAAGGGATTCCTTTAGTTTGAAAAGCATAACAAGGCAACAAAGAAAAAGGAAGTAGAAAGTAAGCAACAATGAGATTTCCATATGCATACAAATTGTTCTTAGGAGTAAACAGGAAAATGATATCGATATCACGTAAATAATACAAAAGAAAGAAAGAACATATTATGTATGAAATATATAAATATAACAACTTCTCAATTTATCAATTCAATATTTTAATGTTATCGAAAGCTAAAAAAAATACGACCATTTTTACTAATAATTTACTAATTAATTATTTTTTGTTTTTTAAAGGAAAAATACGATTTTCAACTTTAAAATGACTCGTGAATTCTCTGAATATCGATGTGAAGCTATGTAATAGCCCATATTTAAGAGAAGAATTAAAGGATATATTTTTTTTTGAAATAAATATTTTCGTATTAAATAAATTACGTAAATTCACAAGTTCAAGATTCTTAGATTTGTGTCCCGATAAATAAATTTAATTTTCACAAAATAAATGATTGTTTGATTATTTGTTTTCTAAAAAGAGAATGTTGCATTTTAAGGCAACCAATTTTAATTTTTTAAAAAACATTAAGAATAACCAATGAGCTTTAACTGAAAGATTTATTACCGTCATTTTATATCGGTGTAATGTCCGAAGGACATTTAATGTTTACGCAAGGTGATACCAAAGTTACATTTTGATGTATTAATAGACAAAATATCAAAAACGTAACTTTCGAGAAATTGATTGGTTGCTTATATAAAAATGATCTCCACTGTCACATGTTAACCGAAATTCTGCTTCGGACTTACAATGGTCCCCGTTTCCTAGTTTTAAGTTTTTTTCGGTATCATGAAATTTAAATTTATATATTAAGGGAGAATACTTAACGAGAATGTAAGGATTCTATAATAATTAAGATGAAAATTGTAATTCTATGATATAATAATATAATCATAAATTGACTCCCTCTCCCCATGTTTTGAGGCGTTGATTAGGAGTTTTCCTAAAAAAGTATAGGGTTAATTAAGCATGGTGACACAATTCATAAATATACAATAATTAAGAGGATTTCTTCCGGAAAAATAAAAATCGAGAAAACAAGAAATATAAATTTGATATTTGTGTACACCATTACATTGTTTTAATTCCTTTAGCAGTGAATTAATATAATTAGTGTTCATAATAATGTAATGTTTCATTTCTAAAAATAGCTCGAAAATTTGTAGTGATATAAATATATTAAATACATAATTGTTTGTAATTTCTCTAATAATTGATTTTTCATCTATTTTTTTTTTTCGTTCTCTATTTGACTTTCTTTAACTTTTAATAAGAGAAATTTTTTTTTTAAAAAAAAATGCTTCAAATATTAATATTACCACACGAGACATTACTTGAAGTAATGACTTACCTACCAACTCGAGAACTTTGTAAACTCATGATATTATCGAAATATTTCAATCAAGCGATCAAAGAAATAATTATCGACAGATTTACTAAAGTATTTTCAGGACAAAATCAACATATATTGGTAAATACTCCACTGATCAGTTGGCATAACGCTCTATTATTTATTCATATTCATATTTGTATTTATTTTTTGCATTCATACTTATTTTTTATATTTATTTTTATTATTTTTATTTTTTATTTATTCTACATTTATATTTTTTATATTTATATTTTTTATTTTTATTTTTATATTTATTCTACATTTATATTTTTTATATTTACATTTATTTTTATATTTATATTTATATTTATATTTATTTTTTATATTTATTATTTTAGGTTTATATGTCGAGATATGATCTATTGGAATTAACACAAACGTATCATGCTTTCGATTTTGCATTTAAAAGTTTTAACGGTGACACTTTAATCACAATTTTCTCTATCGATTCCACTCAACCTAAGGGTACGATTGGGTCAAGAGGAAAGAAACTCGAAGGATTAACATTACGTGGTGGATCAATTTGTCGACAAAAATTAATAAATGATTCAATACAATATTTAGGTTGGGGTTTAAAATCTGAAGAAAAGAATGCAAGAATATATGTTTATGATTCTTCTTCTATGAATAATCCCTGTTTGAAAGCATATTATGTAACTCATGGTAAAGTAATTACTCCATTGGATGGATGTAAAGCAACTAAAGGATGGTGGTCTACACTTTTATATTCAAAAAAGAAAAAAAAGTCAGTAACAACTGTAGGATTTGTAGGTAGAAATAAAACTAGTGGTAAATTACCGGGAATTCCTTATGTTGCGGGAAAATTAAAAAATATTTCGATTAAAGCTGATTTTTTATTGGTTGCTTATGAAGAAAAAAAGGTTGATAAATCTAAAAATGGGATAAAATATTTATTAACTGAAGGAGGAGAAGAATATTTAAAACGAAAAAAAACTTGTGTAATTTCCTAACCAATCTCTTTACATCCTATAATTTTTAATATTTTTTAATATTTTTTTTTGATACTTCAACTTGTATAAACTTACATTCTTAAAAGTAGCATATTAGATATATATTATTAATAATAGTATAATTATTCACATTATGTATGCATAACTAGAATAAAATAAATAAATAATATAATAATTCATTAATTAAACATAAATACTAGTATTAACTTTTCCAATGGAAAACAATTGATAATAGATGCATCTATCAAACCTACTAATTGCGTTTGAATAATTTGTTAACTCATGTCTTTTGCATTTTTCTCCAGTCTTATTTTTCAAGTTTCATTTCCTGCCTGATTAATAACTCTTACATTCTTATAACTCCTTTTCAAACCTTTGAAGAGTAAAACCATCATATATTATTTAATATAAGTGAAATATTCAAAATTCAATTAATAACAGATAAGAGTAATTTCATATTCCTTTGATTCAATTCTTTCATCCAAAAACTAAAAATGCTGAAGAGTCTAAAAGTGGGTCAAATAAAGTATGAACCGAGAACGCTAAATATTTCCACTGGTTTAGTAATTGACCAGAATTTTTATTTTATTCTTATTCCCGATAATTAATAGTTGGAAAATATATAAAAGTGAAAATAATAAACAATCAGAAGTTAGGAAATTTCCTCTCGGATATTTCCTGTTCTTTTTGAAGGTAATACGGAAAGGTGTGGTAAGGTCGACCAGATGTTGGTGAACGAGCCCTAAAATAGGAGTATGCTGTAAGGGACCAAAAAATCGAGTTGAGTGTACCGAATTTGATCATACACAGTAGTACACTGTTCACAGGTACGTGGCGAATCATAATACATCTCATCTTTGTTAACATATATTTTAATTAACGTTCGTTCGAAAGTTATGGTGTATGTTTTTTGTAATATTACTCGATTGTACATTTAATAATAATAGAATTATAAAATCATTATCTATATGTTGCGTCTAAGTAAAATTCGTGTTCAAATAATTTTACATCTAAATTTGTTATTTCTTTAAAATATTAAAAATATTTAACGTCTTTTTTTAATCCAATTGTTTCTGGTGAGGATGTAATCTATGAGGAAGAACTTATTGAAAAAGTATGCATACAGTTTGATCTTTCATTACAAGGAAATACATTAATATAATAATATTATTATTATAATTTAGTCAAATATTTAAAATAATTATTATTTTTTATTAATTTGTTTTTTTAAAAGATTCAACATTCCATGGGAAAACCATGTGGACAACATAATGCCACATGCTCTTACTTGGGAAATGTTATTGTATTCAGAACAGATAGAACTTGTCAAGGTATTAAAACATGCGAACTTGCCATTAAAACTGCATGCCAATGTAAAAATAATGAAATACAATATAATGGTAAAGCTATATTAAAATACTTAAGATGTTATAATGAAACCATATCTTACATATTTTATTGGTTGCAATGAATAGAAAGCCAATGAAAATATTACAGGTCAAATACAAAAGATATGCCATATCAAAAAGAATTTCTGATTTATCAGGAATTAAATAAAAATGTTCTATGACATTATACAAACACCATTCTATAGCATTCTATGAACAATACTAACATTCATATAGTATACTAAATACCAGGGATGGCAAATGGCCAGGTCATTTGCTTATTTTGAAATGATCCTCAAATGACCTTCAAATGACCTGGTCATTTGGATCATTTAAAATTGGCCATTTCACAAATGACCAGGTCATTTAAAAATTATGCAAAGTCATTTGAGATTATTTGAAAAGTCATTTGAATGACCAATCAAAAATTAAATTAGAAATTACTTAAATAAAAATATTAACATGAGAATTTTCTTATAAAAAAATCTTGTCTCTATGAATAAAATAAAAATTATTTTTTTTTTCTTTATGTTACAAATATAATTAATATAAGTTAAGAAGCACATAAGTTTAAAAAGTTTTTTACATTAGTTGATTCACCAAAAAAGATTGTAAATAAAAAAACAGTTTGTAATTTTTATATAAAAGAATATACATTACCTGTGGCTTTATGTAGAACTGGATGTCTTGTTTCAAATAAGGCTAAACTCTATCATGTATATCTTAAAAAATGTATAAATTTTAAACATTGTTACTAGTCAACCTTTTAGGCTAATTCTGTTTTTCAAAAGGCAATTTACAACTAGTAACTCGTAAACAGTTACAAATTAAAGGAGATAATTTAAAATCAAAAAATAATTTTAAGTTAAAACTAAAACTAGAACTTAAGAATTTATGATTATAGGAATTAAGTTATTAATTAATGGTTAAATTTTAAAGAACAATTTGAGAAATTAAATCAAATCATTCCAATTCAGTAAAAAAGCAATTTATAGAAGAAGAAATTGAATAACTACTATAAAAGGAATTAGTTGTAAAATTTTTTAGCCTTTGGACTTTTCCAGTAGTTATTGTGAACAAAAAAAAATAGAAAATAATATTTATGTGTTAATTATAAGAAAGTAAATACCCTTATCAAAAAAAATACTTATCTAATTTCTTGTGTAGATGATATGTTAAATACAATACAAGGCATAAGATGGTTTACTACATTTGATTTAGCAAGTAAATATTGACAAGTTGAAATGGATCCTAGTAATTAAAAGAAAACTACTTTTATTGTGAAACAGGAAGTATATAAATTTACAGTAATGCTATTTGGTTTAACTAATGCTTATGCTACTTTTCAATAGTTTATAAATTAATTTTTTAATAGGCTATTATATAAAGATGTTATTGTCTATTTGAATAATATTAATATTTACTTCAAAATATTTGAAAAATACTTGGAAAAATTAAGAGAAATGTTAAAATAATTATGTGCTATTGGTCTTAAATTAGACCTTGGTAAATGTCACTTTTTGAAGAAACAAATTGAATTTTTGAATTATATTGTCAATGACTAAAGCATTACTACAGATCTAACAAAAATTGAAAAAGTGCAATACTTCTTTTGATCTAAGAATGTGACAAAAGTCTGAAGTTTTTTAAAATTAGCTTTATACTATAAAAAGTTTATTTATAATTTTTCTAAAATAATATAACCTTTACACCAGTTAATACAAAAAAGAGTACCTTTTAAATAGAAAAGAAAATATCAACAATTTTTCAATACTCTTAAAGAAAAATTAACTATATCTCTTATATTGATATAGTCAGACTTTAAAAAACCTTTTTACTTATTAACGAATGAATCTTCTAAAGAACTTGATATAGTTTTTATACAAATAAATAATCAAGGTTTAGAACAAGTAATTGCTTATACAAATAAAATTTTACAGGGAGTGCAAAAGAATTACATTGCAACCGAATGGAAATATTTAGCTATTATTTGAGCAGTTAAACATTTTTATCATTATTTAGACATAAAACTATTTGTAATTATTACTAATCACTTTACTTTGATCTGGTTATATACTAGTTTCATAAAAGGATACTATGCTTGATAAATTCTCAGATTACAACTTTACAATTTTGAAATTAAACACAAACCTAGAAAAGAAAACAAAGACATGAATGTATTATCTAGACTTTAACTATTAAATTAAAACAAAATTTATTAAAAGTTTGATATAAAATTTAATTTAGTTTAAGTAGTTAGTATTCTAGTAATACTATTTAATAAACCTGAAAATCAAACAATATGAAAACCTTTATAATTATTTAAATACACAACAGTATCTTTCAAACTTTTTTCAAAAAGATAGAAAATAAATTATTTTATAAGTACACCATTTTGCAATTAATAATAATCAACTATTTAAAAAGTTACAAAAACCAACAAATAACTTATTAAAATAATTACTAGAGAAGATTTAGAACTTTTATTAGACATTATATATACTTATCCAACTTCAGGATATTTAGGAACTGAAGTAACTTTTCAAAGATTAAAAGACAAATACATCAGGAAATTTTTAATAGCAAATATATCTGGATATATTTGAACTGAATATATTCGGATATATTTGACCACCCATGTATTTATCCGTATTAAATATTCGAATTTATTCAGATAAATATGTAAATATATTCGCATATATTCGTTTATTCGAATTTATCCAAATACATTTTCAAATATATTCACATATATTCGTGTATTCGAATTTATCCGAATACATTTTTCGAATATATTCGCACATATTTGTGTATTCGAATTTATCCGAATACATTTTTCGAATATATTCGTATTGTTAACCTTGGTTTACCTTCTAAAAAAATCAAAGAAAACTAAGCGACTAGTAGTGAAAATTGTATTTATAGACTTTAAACACTATAATAATTAATTACAGCCGAATGGGTGTTACTATTGATAAAGTAATGATAAGAAGGATTTGGGTAAGGTGAATTTGGTCGAAAGAGGCTAAGGTGTGAGATTTTATAAAAGATTTACTAGCTAAGTTACGAAGACAACAAAGTTTCACCAAGAAACTAAACAAATTCACGAAGAACTTAATAACTTAATCTAGATCACAAAACAGGGTTAATTATTAAGTAACTATAATATCGAGATCACGAAGCAGGGTATTATAACTAACAATTACTCTTATCACCAAGAAGAGAGTAATAATAACAAGAATTGCCA